AGGACAAACAACCACTCACACTCACATTCACTCCTAAGGGCAATTTCCCCAATCTCCAATCAGCCTAACATGCAGGATTTTGGACTATGGGAGGAAGCCGGAGAACCCGGAGAGAACCCACGCAGACACAGGGAGAACATGCAAACTCCACCCAGAAAGGTCCTGGTTCCCCCGGGATTCGAACCCAGAACCCTCTTGCTGGGAGGCGACAGTGCTAACCACCACACGACTGTGCTGCCCCAGTATATATAGTATATGTAAAAATGGATTGACAATAGAAATTATGTTTTAGTGTTTAAAAGTATAATTGTAAAGAGTATTTAGAGTGGTGTATTAACCACTACAGAAGCTTAAAAGTCTCTGTTTTTGTTATCATCAATACAGTTCAGTACAGTTAGGGTAGCAGTGGCATGCATTTCAAAATTGTCAAGATCTGTGTGTATATGTTAATGTTTTTTATCTCAATTCTACTTTATCTTTCTAATTTAGAGTTGGAAGGGGATTAATATACAATTCATTGTATTTGAAAATGCGTATTAAGAAACAGTTTCATGCAGTAGTGATTTATTACAAAACATTAATGCTATTAATTTAGATTTAAAATAGCTGATACCCCAAAGAAAAAATTCAATAGAAAAATACATACATCCAATCTAAAACTGTCAGCTCTGAATGTCTCCATCCAATTGATGTAATTTGTTGTAAGACACGTTATGGTATACGGAAAATCATGTAGCTTTCAATAAACATTTAATACATTTCACCAAATACTATTGAATCATTAAGCATCTAAGTTATTTCAAGCTTGAATAATTCCTTTCGAGTATTTTACAAATATGTTTAATGCACAACAAAGTGGTTCACTCTTGACATTGTTAAGATGAGAGTGGATTTACTGAAAAATACAGTTGTTTTAGTCCTATTTTACTGCTGTAGGTCAAGTCACTGACTTTGGATATCAGACACTCTCAGCAACTAACCATTATTTCACTATTTATAAGAAAGACGTGTAGAAAAGCCCTTTTGCTGGCCTTTTTTATTTTTACTATTGACCAAGCTATTAATGAAGCATAAGGCAAGTTTCACAACCCTCAAGTTAAAAATATTATAGCAGTATGCGTGCAAATGAGACCAATATCCATGCACCCTGGTTTGCTACGTAATTCAGATACGTTCTGTTATTCTTTTTGATTGTCCAATAGTTTGGGTTGTAATTTGAGTTCCCTGAGTTCCTTTAAAAAAAATGCTTCCAGATGAAAACTGTAGAAGCATTCATAGAAAATTCCATTTAGGTGCTCTTTAGAAACCATGTAACTTCATAGGAATAGATAATAGTCCATAAATAATTGTCACTATGCACACAGATATACACTCATTGCCATGAATGCAGTCAAAAGAAATATTAAAAAAGCAAAGTACCTCATGAACATTGTTTATGCTCATAGTTTTGTGTGGTGTGGCTTATCCACACATCAACTCATACTTACATTCTGAAAAGATTTGTATTTTTGTTTTATTTTGTAGAAGACCTTAGCTCCCTGTATTCTCTTTCTGGTTTTACTTTTTGTCCTTGTCTAATACCGAGTTCATCAATGCTAGGCACCGCATTTGTGAGGTTCCCCCTCATACTTGAGTCTTTATGTACCGTTTATTCCTTAAACTCCTGAGACCCTGCATCCTCATATGAGAACATTGCATTTTTGCATCTCTTTACCATGATAGTTCTTTTTTCTTTCGACTTTGACCTCTTGGCCCCATAGTTGACGCTACCAGACACTACTGTCTGAAATCTAAAGTAAAATGGTTTTATACATTTTCAACCAATCATATGATTAAAATTTTGTGAATTAGTAACATTTAATCAAATATATAAACAAACATTTATATATAAAGATAAACCCACTGAGCCTTTCTGAAAAACAAAACAAAACTGTACATGACAAAGTCTAGTTATAAAACGTATTAGTTCCTACTAATCCCATATATCTTGAAAAAAGCAAAAATGCATACTAAATAAAAACTTGGGTCTCGGGAGGCTAAAGTAATATTTGGAAAACCTTCTTTTCTTTCATGATCAGACTGCTTGTTGGTTTAGTAATCTGTTTTATTATTCCCTGCTCCTGCAGTGATTTAAGTCTATCCATCCATTACCTATACCACTTATTCCAGTAGGGTTGCGGGTTGACTGGAGCCTTTTTCAGCTGGCACTGGGTGAGATGCAGAGTACATCCTGAACCAGTCACCAATCCATTTTTTTGTCCACTACCTATGTTGTATCAGCACAAAACCCCATATTTGTCTCCCCCCCAACCCCCCTTTTGTGGATCACTAAAGTTAGAAAAAATATATTTTTCTTATTTCTTAATTTTAATTGACATTAGTACCAGGATCCTGATTAGTTTTACGGAAGACTAAAGGACTGCCCAAAGAAAACATATAGAAACAAAAGTCTACACGGCTAGCCTGAAAATAAATTAAACAGCCAATTAAAATATTTAAAGAAATAGATACATGAAAACAATGGTGATACATTTGTTGCTTGATGTTGATTTCACACAAGTGCTACCAAACTGACAGTTTATGACTTGGCTAGAGCAGAAAAACTTGAAACTGAACTGTTTGGGATGGTTCAGTGTCACCAACCACAGCCACTGATAGGCATTAAGTTCAATTGTGAGTAACACATTCAAATCAAGCATGATTACATTGAAGTTAAATTGAAACTCTGTTGAGCTGTTTTAGGAGAACATCAAATTTTTTTGCACTTTTCCCGAGCAGATCAATTTATTAATCATTGACAAGAAATTAGTGCTCTCTAAGTCCTATGCTGTTCCCAAAATAATATGTATATTTAATATTTGAAATTACTATTTGATGTTATTCAATATTAATATTTACATTTTCTGCACTGCAGCAGGGTGATACACAAAAGGTGAAACTGTGAAGGAAGAATTTAGCAGAACTAACATACAAACAAGACTTAGTCTCATGAGGTGGATGGATGATGCAAAAAGAAAAGATAGAACCATGTTTTACTAAAACTAAACTAAACTAAAACAAAAAATTATCTGAAAGGTTGTATTGTTTTGAATTTTTCAAATGTATTTAACATTTTTACACAGAAAATTGGGATGGTGTTACAGCACTTATTATTTTATAATACAGCTGTTAGTGAGTATTTTGTGTGATGGCAGTTACTTGTGCAAATCTCACATTAGTCTCAAATCATCCCCCTCATTAAAACCATTTGTCCCAGTCAGCCTGCTCCTGCATAGGTCAACTGATCTTTATGAATCTTCCTCAAAGTGTCTTATCGTCACTATCTGTTTTGTCTCCATGGTACTTAAGTGTTTCCTCAATCATCACACCAATTATCCATTCAAATTTCCCAAAGTCAGCATGCAATGTGTAACATCTCACCTGTAAAGAACTAGTCAAAGAAAGAACAGTTTTATGATTTTGTGAAATTCAGAACTGATTAAGATTGACTGAATACTTTTTGTTCTTCATAAACTTACTCACTGGTTTCACAAATAACCTGAAGCCTGTTGTAACCATGATGAGTTTCTTTTCATATTACAGTTCCAGTATTGAACAATCTTGTTCAGCTTTCAGCCTCTTAAAGGTTGTACCTGCATCAAGCCCTTTTTCATTGCAATTTTGGCAAAATAATATTTACTGAGTTTGAATCGGCATTTCTCACGGACAAGTTGAGAGATTTGACTTTGGCTAAATCCTATGTATTCTAGCTATGTTTTAGGCTTCAAAATGCCTTATTTGTAAGGTTTTAAGTGAATGGTTTTACGTTTCTAACCTAACAATGATGCTGGCCACATCTTCTAATACATTTCTTACCAGTTATTTGTACTTTAAACATGTATTTTGCTAGATGATGTTTATCTATAACGACACAATCAATAAAGCATGTTTATGTAAAGCTTGCAAGACCATCAGTTTGGGACTTTTTAAAAGAATGTACCAGTGCCTGCAATTTGCTACTGTAAGTGCAGTGGGATAGCACTAAATCATGAGACTTAAAGTTTTAGTGGAATGTTATGGGTAAAATGCCTTGTCAGCTGTCTGCCACCTCCTCTCCTAACAGCCATTTTTCCATGTTGCTTGAAGTCCTAAAGGAAAAACTGCATCACCGCCCAGAGACAACGACCACTTTTACAGCTCTGTTCCATAGAGAGAGTCGGTTCTCATGAATGCAAGAGAAAAAGACAACCTCAATAGAGTCACAGATGGACAATACACCTGCTAAGTCAGAGAGGTGAGGATAGTGTAAACCATGATGGTGTAACTGTATGGAAGAACGTCAGAAAGATATTAAACACCTACGAGAAGAGGATTAAATGCAGCCCTCGACAGATGTTAAGACAGTCACTAGTGATTACCAAGACCAAGGAAAGTCTGAATCTTTCCAAATATATTTATATATGAGTACACTTCACAAAAAAACAATTATATAGATAAATAATCATAACATTCCTCATACTCAGCAAATTGACAAAATATCCCTGATGAGTAATTACGTTTCAACCTGTAAAAAGTTGTAATATTTTATTGATGCAGTGAGTAGCTTCTCATCTTTGATTAATATTTTATCCAGTTAGTTATGCAGTTAATATTAAAATGTGGAAGAAGAGTGAAAAGTGATCATCATTTTCAAGATAGTAATGTGGTTCTGAGACAATTATTCAATGGAAAATAGTCACATGGATATCTTAAAAGTTCAGCTGTATAATGTTTTAACATAATGAACACATAAGACATGTTTCAGATGAAGCTTTACACCCATAATACCCATTTTCTCCAAACAAGCAAATGGGAATGTTGAATCACTCCTTGTGAGAAAGACTTCAAACTGCAGTCAGACCCTCATTGTCAATGGAACTTGAAAATAGGGTTATATTTTTTCTTAACAAGAGGGAAATTCACTTTTCTATAGCTACATATATCATATATTATCATGTGTGAAGTATAGCTCAATCAAACTGATGGTCATCCGACAGTTCGGTTATCACACTACCACTGAATTTGAAAAGGGCACTCAGAAGAAAGTGGCCCGTGATGACAATGGAGTAGCACAGCAGAGTTTGGGGAGCAACAGGAAAGCGGAAATTATGGGCTTGTAAACAAAAGAGGGGAGAGCGGGTGAATGGACTGGCCCAGCTAAAGACAAGAAGGCCGCCGATTCCGACTCTCTTTCTGGCCAACGTCCACTTACTGTATAACAAGGTGTACATGTTAAGTCTGAGGCTAAATGTCTGTACATAGATGAGAAGATGTGCTGTTCTTTGCCTCAGGGAAATCTTGGCTTAACAACAACATGACAGACTCAGCTTTCCAGATTGACGGCCTACTACTTTTCAAAACAGACCGCAACCAACGGCCATGGAAAATACAGGGAGGAGGATTCTGTTAATACATGATTGAGGGTTGGTGTACATACTGTGATACTGATAAAAAGCTACTGCTCTGGGGCAAATATTGGCTATACTATATATACTATCCTGCAAGGTGCTAACGCAAATTAAGCATAAAAGGAGCTACATGACACTATTAGCATGCCGCAGACAAAGCACCTGGAGGTGTCTAGATGTTTGCAGGGATTTCAGTTTTACTCCACGTAATACTGATGTACACTGTCCAGTTCTTACCAGCATGTCACCATCTCTACATGGGAAACAACACTCTGGACTGTGTGTGCACCAACATTCACTATGCATATGGAACTCTTCCTCAAACCTGTCTTGGTCTCTCCGACCACGTCTCCATTCTGTAGGCACCAGCATAGTGTCCCCTAATGAGATGGAACAGGTCAAGAAAGAAGGCAGGTACTGTGTGGCCCATTGATGTAGCCTTGGCGCTCAAGGACTGTTTCAGTGCACAGACCTTCAGAGAAAGCAAATATTCAGACAGGCTGCTACATATGATGAAGAGTTGGACCTAGAGGAATAAACCATCTCTATTTTCAGCTTTATTTCCTAATTTGTTGACAATGTCACCACCACCACCAGGACAGTAACCTGCAACCCAAACCAGAAACTGTGGCTGAATGCTGATGTGAGAGCTCTGCTGAAAGCTAGGGATGCTGCGTTCAGGGAAAGTGAGTCATCAACACTCAGAGAGGTGAGGAAAGGAAAGTCACATAGGCCCAAATTCAGGGTCACTTCACCACCAAGAACTCCAGGTACATGTGGAAGGGCATCCAGTCCACCGGAGATTAAAATACCAGGGATGCACAAGGGACCCCTCATTACCTGATGCACCTAACAGGTTCCATGCCTGTCTTGAAGACCCTGACAACCCCCCCAGCACCAGACTTTAACCATGACCCGGTGACACACCCCTCATTTTGATCACAGCGGATGTGAGGAAGATCCACCAGGGAATTAACCCCTGAAGGCTGCAGACATGGGTTGGGGCTGAGGTACTGTACGCATCAACTGTCTGAGGTGTTAGGGGATATCTTCAAAACTTCACTGTCACTGGCATCTGTCCCCACCTGATTAAAAACTACCACTATTGTTCCAGTCCCCTAATGCATTCACTTTGCATTCGGTAGCCTGAATGACTGTAGCCCCAACCCCAGTAGTCATAAGGTGTTTCAAGAGACTGTTCATTAGCCACATCAAAGACTAAATCAAAGTCACTGTGGACTTCCATCTGTACCCCCACAAAAAGAACGACTCCACTGATGAAGCCTTCTCATTGGTGATCCACACAGAACCTCACTCATTTGGAGAGCAGGAACTCCAACATCTGCCTCCTCTTCCTGGATTTTTCCTCAGCCTTCACCACCATCCTCCCACAGACCCTAGTGCTGAAGCTCTCCACTGGGTAATCCCACACTGGGGTTGGAGATCCTGGACTTCCTGACCAACAGACTTCAGACTCTCAGAATCTACAATACCATCTCCTTGTCCATCACCTCCAGCACAGGCTCACCGCAGGGCTGCATGTGCCCCACCACCAGTGACCTGGACACATCAGAGGGTACCAAAGGAGCAAGAGGGCCACTGGGTGCACATACTTACCCGCCCATCGTGGCATGCCCAGGGCACCCCAGCACCCCCAGACAAAGGGAAAGGGATCCTCCTCTCTGCCACGGTCATGAGAGTGTCCAGCTCCTCCCCTACGACATCACCGGCCCTCCTGATCATTTTGTTAAGTCTGTTGCTGTCTGTGACCTTCAGCCCACTTTCCCAGCATGTGAAAGCAAAGAAGATCGCACTGGCCACAACAGAGCATCGTCTGACAGATTTTAAAAGACCTCAGCCTCCTCAGGAAGAAGAGTCGGCTTTGGCCCTTTTTGTAAACTGCCTCAGTGCATCTTGTCGAGTCCAGTTTATTATTTAAATACACCCCCAGGTACTTTTACTACTCTACAGTGTCTACAGGGACCCCCTGGATTGAAACAGGGGTCACAGGTGTTTTTGCCCTCCTCCATCCATCATTAACTCCTTAGTCTTTGTCACATTAAGCTGTAGATGGTTCGGCTCACTCAAGTTACAAAGTTGCCCACCACAGTCATATATTCACCCTCATGACTCCTTTTCAATGCAGCCAACTATTGCTGAGTCGTCAGGAAACTTCTGAAGGTGGCAGGACTCAGTGCAATAGCTGAAGTCTGAGGTGAAGAGGGTGAAGAGGAATGGAGAGAGGACAGTCCCCTGAGCGGCCCCGGTATTGCTGACCACCCTGTCAGACACACAGTTCTGTCGGGATACATACTGTGGTCTGCTCGTCAGGTAATCAACAATCCCGGACACGATGGGGGCATCCACCTGCATCGCCGCCATCTTCTTACCCAGTAAAGCCGGACGGATGGTGTTGAAAGCACTGGAGAAATCAAAGAACATGATTCTTACAGTGTTCGCCGGCTTGTCCAGATTAGCGTAGACTCTGTTCAGCAGGTAGATGATGCTGTCCTCACCTCCCAGGCGGGGCTGGTAGGTGAACTGTTGTGGATCCGTGAAGGGCCTGACGATAGGCCTTAGCTGTTGCAGAACTAGCTTCTCAAAGGTCTTCATGATGTGGGACGTCAGTGCCACCGGCCTTAAGGCCTTAGGGCCATTAGGACGTGGCGTCTTTGGCACAGGAACGAGGCAGGACGTCTTCCACAGCACGGGGACTCTCTGGAGGTGCAGGCTCAGGCTGAAGACTAGGCTAAGTACGCCACACAGCTGGGCAGCACAAGCTTAAAGCACCCTAGGAAATACACCATCGGGGCCTGCAGGTTTGCCTGTGTGGAGTCTGGTCAGCTGTCTTCTAACCAGGTCAGGTGTGAGGGGCACTGAAGAGGTGACAGTTGGGGGAGGGACGATTATACTAAAACAAAGACAGTTATCGCCATGTTTAATACTGAAATTATCTAATTAAAGCAAATATCGAAGAAACTTGAGAGAAATTGGCGTTCGAACACAAAGGGGAACAATTATTGTTGAATTCGGCAAGATATTCTTAAAACTTATAGGAAGGCCATCCGTAATGCCAAAGCAGCATATTACTCGTCATTAATAGAGGAAAATAGGAACAATCCCAAGTATGTTTTCGGCACTGTAGCCTGGCCGTCAGAAAGACAGGACAAAAAAACCCCAGCTCAAAAGCTGGGGTTTTTTGTCCTGTCTCCATGTGGTTTCCTCATTTCCTGTTTTATTTTGATAAGTAACGCTCATCCCGTTTCAGGTCACGTGTACTTCCCAGCGTGTCATCTGTCCAATTGTCTTCCTGATCACCTATTGTGTTCACCTGGGGTTCCCTTTCCCTCGTGTTAAAAAGTCTGTGTTCCCCCTTGTCTCGTGCCAGTGTGGTTCGTCCCACGTCCGACTGAGCAACCAAAGTCATAGCTATTCCTTGCATTACGCCTTGATCCTCGTTATTCCTCGATAGTGATTTTGATTTCGATTCTCCTAGTTTTTGTTTTGACTCTGACAGACTAAAAAAATCCAATATTCTTCTTATTTGATCAATTTTGATGGATCATCTAACATATTACTGTGTCATATTATGCTCAGAAAGTTTAAAGGGTTCTAAAAGTCTTTCTTAAAAAATAAACTTTGCCTAGTTGATGTTGCATCAATTGGAAATAAAAACATGTTTCCTCTAAAAAAATAAATAAAAAAAAGTATACAGCTGTCCTTTATTTTCCAGACACATTCAAACGGAAAGTATTTTCAATGTTGTTACTCAATACCTTGTCTCAGAATTTCATTAAACTTCACGAGAGAAAGTGTGCAAATTGACAATGAAGTGCATGAATCTTTAATTGCCAACTTGGAAAAGTAAACAGTGACTCCTCCACTGTCGTCTCTTGTCCATTTCCAAATGTATTGTCCATCCTGCAAACCTGCTTGCAATCAAGATCATTTCACTAGTCCTTTTCCCTCAAGACTTAAAGTTTGTCCTTGGAACCACTAGTAGTCTTTGACCAATTGATCTTAAAGGATGTTGATACCTACAAGGTTAGCAGTGCACGGAGGGTTTTGACCTGGTCGGGCTTCGAATGTGAGAATTAAAACTAAACGATACTGTAACAGTTACTGTATTCACAGATAAATGCAGTGTATTCACTTCTCTCTAGCAGTGAATGTGCAAAGGTAGCAATGTATTTATGCAGAACTGTCCAAACATCTAGAATGTGCATAAATGCAGAAATCTACATACAAAAGAACTAAGCTAGTAAGGTCTTGCAATCGGGAGCAGAGCCGTTACCGAACCACTTTGTGATAAATCTGCTGAGTACAGACTCCATTTTATCTGTGTGAAACACAGTGAAAAGGAGTTGGTTAAGGTGAGCTGTTCTCAGTCTATGATTTCTCCATGGGCTCCTGGGCTTTCTTGACCATGGAGCTTTAAGGGTCCATGTTAGGTTGAAGGTGAACACCAAGTAAATTGTGCTATAGACAATTTCCACAGTGGATATGGTATCCAATTGGATCCAATTGGTACGTGGAAACATTACGCCCACTGACTGCTGGGTGACCCGTGACCATGACCCCTTTAGGGAATAAGAGGTTAAGATAATGGATGGATGAATGTCAGCCAAGACAGTTCACCAGTCCAACAAAAAGCCACACAGGTTCCAACAACTACACACCCAACCTCATGAGTGCTAATGACCACTCATAAATGTGATAGTTCAAATTTTAGGAAATTAAACAGAATTAATATCAGAAATGTGTTTTATTGTTTTACTAAGAGCAGAATTGTGTCCAAGTGTATTCTACCTTATTTTCTCTTACAAATATGTCTACAGCTTTTGGCATAGATCATACCTCAATTGATCTAAGTTTTTTTCATTTTTTCCCCATAATTCTCAGAATCTAGCACCTCCATTTTCCAAAAGGCACAGGTTAAAAAGGACAGTGAGTCTATGGCTATTTGACCTAACTTCTGTCCCTCTAACACCTTCGGCAGGGGTCCTACCTCAGGGCATGTGCTGCTATTACAGGTGAAATATCCTGTGTGAGTCCACAGACCTGGCACCGAATTATACATCAGTATCTCATCAAAATGCTCAGCAGGGGGCACATAAGACAACTCACAGTCAGGTGTTTCCTGCCGTGTAGTTGTATTAAACACCTTTAATTGAAACACTGGTTTTAGTCAATAAAATATTCCAACAGACAAACACAAATTTCACTGTTCTTTTTTTAATGGCTGGTGTTAAGTTTGCTGGTTCTGAAAAAAATATTGTTAAGAAGTTCATTGAGAGTTCCACAACACCTTTCTTGACTAATTATTTAAGAAGTCTCTTTCTTGAAAGTTTGTAATCTCAAATTCGAAGTTCATGCCTTCTTTTAAGTAATGGAAAAAATTTTTTTTCCATTTTGAATAAGGCAGCTGTTATAATAAAAACAAAGCATCTTGTGAAATCCAGTGTGCTCCACAACCAGCTTGTACATATATATGTTAAAAATCTAGGTTTGAATTTGTAATATACATTTATATCCAACATGTGCAGCAAGGGTTACAATCGAAAATAGCTTATAAAATATGTAAAGGGATATTATAAAGTACTTTGTTGTAATCATTGTACATTAATGAAATGTGATGTTTGGTGGGTATGTTTTCAGATCAGTGTAAGGTATGATTAAAAAAATTAGTATCATTCTATTCTTACAAGTTTATATAATAAGTTTTTATTTTACAAAAGTAAGCCAAAATGTAAAAGGAAAGTCTGAGCATCCAAATGATAAATTTTGTTCCATACTTTCAAGAGCATGCTCCACTGCTCCAACAGTGTTGGGGAGAATGTACCA